AGGGCGGTATACACAGTCAGCACAATTCAATGCTGAAACAAAATACATACATTGATAAAGCAAAAACATCAAATGCAATTAAACATAAATGACAGTGCATAATTAAAAAGAGACTATGTCCTCTCGTGTGTGTATATGTATATGAAAAGAGACATATGTGCCTCTGTGTGTGTATATGTATATGCATACACACACAGGTTGACCATCCCTTACTCATATATGTGCCTATATGTACATGTGTGTGTGTGCATATATTTGTGTGTATGTATATAAGTGGATATATATGTATGTGAATATATATGCACATACACACCTAAAAAAAGACACACACACACATATACACACACATACATATATGTATATGCTGTGGTATCCTGAGAGTTGTAGTTTAGTGAGCCACCAGTGCACTTTAGCAGATGAAGCTAAAGGCCTTCTAGAACTCCAGCTCCAAGGATCCCATCACTTTGAGCAAAGAGATAAAGCGGTGTCGAACTGTGTTATTTTGACAGTGTAGACACAACAGAGATGGGGAAAACGCCTTAGCCTCCCCAAGCCACCATCTAAAGATGAAAGTGGCTCTAAGTCGCAGGTGTTTTCCTATACAAGGCCACATTCGGTGGTTGCTTGCTGATGCTGCTTCTCAGGGCTGAGGCTGGCACCTGCTTGCCCTGTGGTTGGAGGGACACCTTGTCAGCAACATCACAGAACAACAAACAAGAGGGGAAATCATATTCCGGAAACACCCTTTCTCTTAACATATGGCGTATCTGGCTAATGCTATGACAGTGCACATCCTAAAACAAATGAGGTGAGTTGTTCTGCCTTTTTGGGCCTATGAATGATGGCCTTTTCCAGACAATTGTAGGGTCAATCAATGCAGCCGATTGAATGGCCATGGCTCCTTGTGATAGGATACTAAGAGCTGTAGATTGTCCTCACCAAACTACAACTCTCAGGACCCCATAGCCTTGAGCCGTGGGGTGAAAAGTGGTGTCAAACTGCATTCATTCTAATGACGAAAAACATAAGATTTGGTTTTGGAGATGTACCAGTTTGGGCAGTAGACATTTTCAGAAGCAGTAGGAATGGGCCTTGGGTAGGTAGCACTGAGCTGGAATTTGCACCAAAGATTGTCCTGATTAAGTTAATAACTGAAGGAAGATTCATATAGTACAAACAAACCATTGATTTTATGTGAAACTACGCAGAATTGGACCTTTCTGCCATGGAGTTATAAACTTTGCCCTCAGATTTGCTTTAGTCTCACTCAGTATATTTATCCATTGACATCAGTAATGTATTGTCGAAGGCTTTCATGGCTGGAATCACTAGGTTCTTGTGGGTTTTTTCGGGCTATAGGGCCATGTTCTAGAGGCATTTCTCCTGACGTTTCGCCTGCATCTATGGCAAGCATCCTCAGAGGTAGTGAGGTCTGTTGGAATTAGGACAATGGGTTTATATATCTGTGGAATGGCTGGGGTGGGGCAAAGAGCTCTTCTCTGCTGGAGCTAGGTGTGAATGTTTCAACTGACCACCTTCATTAGCATTTGAAGGCCTGGCTGAGCCTGGGAAAATCTTTTGTTGAGAGGTGTTAAGATGTGCCTGGTTGGTTCCTCTCTGCTGTTTTGCTGTTGTAATTTTAGAGTTTTTTAATACTGGTAGCCAGATTTTGTTCATTTTCATGGTTTCCTCCTTTCTGTTGAAATTGTCCACATGCTTGTGGATTTCAATGGCTTCTCTGTGTAGTCTGACATGGTGGTTGTTAGAGTGGTCCAGCATTTCTGTTTTCTCAAATAATATGCTGTGTCCTGGTTGGTTCATCAGATGCTCTGCTATGGCTGACTTTTCTGGTTGAAGTAGTCTGCAGGCCCTTGCATGTTCCTTGATTCATGTTTGGGCACTGTGTTTGGTGGTCCCTATGTAGACTTGTCCACAGCTGCATGGTATACGGTAGACTCCTGCAGAGGTGAGAGGATCCCTCTTGTCCTTTGCTGAACGTAGCATTTGTTGGATTTTCTTGGTGGGTTTGTAGATTGTTTGTATGTTGTGTTTCCTCATCAGCTTCCCTCTGTGGTCAGTGGTTCCCTTGATGTATGGCAGGAACACTTTTCCTCTGGGTGGATCTTCATCTTGACTCTCGTGGCTTGTTCTTGGTCTTGCAGCTCCTCCAACTGATGAGGAAACACAACATACAAACAATCTACAGACCCACCAAGAAAATCCAACAAATGCTACGTTCAGCAAAGGACAAGAGGGATCCTCTCACCTCTGCAGGAGTCTACCGTATACCATGCAGCTGTGGACAAGTCTACATAGGGACCACCAAACGCAGCGCCTAGACACGCATCAAGGAACATGAAAGGCACTGCAGACTACTTCAACCAGAGAAGTCAGCCATAGCAGAGCACCTGATGAACCAGCCTGGACACAGCATATTATTTGAGAACACAGAAATGCTGGACCACACCAACAACCACCATGTCAGACTACACAGAGAAGCCATTGAAATCCACAAGCATGTGGACAATTTCAACAGAAAGGAAGAGACCATGAAAATGAACAAAATCTGGCTATCAGTATTAAAAAATTCTAAAATTACAACAGCAAAACAGCAGAGAGGAAACAACCAGGCACATCTTAACACCTCTCAACAAAAGATTTTACCAGGCTCAGCCAGGCCTTCAAATGCTAATGAAGGTGGTCAGTTGAAACATTCACACCTAGCTCCAGCAGAGAAGAGCTCTTTGCCCCACCCAGCCATTCCACAGATATATAAACCCATTGTCCTAATTCCAACAGACCTCACTACCTCTGAGGATGCTTGCCATAGATGCAGGCGAAACGTCAGGAGAAATGCCTCTAGAACATGGCCCTATAGCCCGAAATAACCCACAAGAACCTAGACATCAGTAATGCTTGCACATCCCATTTTCCAAAATCTGAACTCTTCCAAAATTGTCCACCTGGACAATGTGGTTGGGATAGTGGCACCTTGGTTCTCTGATGGTTCAGTGTACTTTCACACACATCATTATTTAAAATAGGTTGAATCAAATGACCTTCAGGCTATACACATGTGTATGAATTTCATGTTTATACTTAAATCCCATCTCCAAGATCTCTCATTATTATGGATATACATGATGATAGGAGGAGAAATGGTCCAGCATAGTTGGTGAAGCTCATCACAAATGGTCAGATTAGCCCAAGGCGTATTGGGAGTTTGGTGGGACAAAATTGTGCTCCTCCCATGTGAAAGCCACCTGACTTGTCTACAATGAAAACAGAGGACCAGCAAGCCAATTTAGGGGACAAGGAGCAAGCTACCCCTCAAAACCAACGGCTTCAGGTGGCACCCATTCATCCTCATGGCACACCCAACCATTGGCCAGACAGTTTTGGGAGCTGCACTCCCAAAAGTCACTTTCCCCAACTGTAACAGTGCTTCCAGTCATTCAAGTCTCCAAGTGACACATCTGGTGTTCCATTGTGACCTCAACGAATGACACCTGCGATTCACTCAATTGCTGGGAGACCAAGCCAGACTCAAAACTCCTTGAGTTAAGCACCATCTCAAAACCCATAGGAGCACCACTCTAAATCGCACTCCATCAGGAGGTTGGTATCCCCACCCATGGATGATGCTGCTGTTCTAAAGAAGAAAGGCTATATCCTAGGAGGTAGTCTAGGTGAGAGTTCCTTTGCCAAAGTCAAGTCGGCCTACTCAGAGCGCCTGAAGAGCCAAGTGGCTGTCAAGATCACAGACAGGAGGAACGTCCCTACTGAGTTCTTGGAGAAGTTCCTGCCCCGGGAGTTGGAGATCTTGTCCACCGTCGACCACTGCTCCATTGTCAAGATCTACGAGATCTTTGAGACCTCTGGGAAGGTCTACATTGTGATGGAGCTGTGCGTCCAAGGCGACCTCTTGGAGTTCATCAAGAGCAACCGGGGGCTCCCCGAAGAAGTGGCTCGCCGGATGTTTCGCCAACTCTGTTGTGCTGTCAAATACTGCCACGACTTGGATGTGGTGCACCGGGACCTCAAGTGCGACAATGTCCTCCTGGACAAAGACATGAATGTCAAGTTGTCTGATTTTGGTTTTTCAAAGCGGTGCTACCGAGACAGGGATGGCCAGATCGTTCCCAGCCAGACGTTTTGCGGGTCAGCAGCATACGCCGCTCCAGAGGTGATCCTCGGCATTCCGTACCATCCCAAAATTTACGATATGTGGAGCCTGGGTGTCGTGCTCTACGTCATGGTCTCAGGGTACATGCCATATGACGACTCCAATGTCAAGAGGATGCTCCGGCTCCAGCAGGAACACCGGGTGATCTTCCCTGAAACGTTGAGCATCGAATGCAAAGATCTGATTTTCCGCATGCTCCAACCTGATGTTGCTCATCGCCTCCAGATTGAAGAAGTCTTAAACCACCCTTGGGTGCAAGGAAAGCGCCTCAAGAGATTTCGGTAAAAGCAAATGTGCAATTTTATCAGGAATACGTATTGCTTTGCCAAGTACAATAAATAAATATTACTTTCTTGTTCTAGAGCAATACTGTGCTGTTCTTTTATGTTCTGTAGTTACCAAGCAACTTAGAATTTTACTTTAAGGTGGCTTCCCATTCCCAAGACTTAGAATGGAGTGGCTCATGAGCCATATAGAGCCAGCCATGACACACACACACCCCAGAGCTGCCCCCTGGACATCCACCATCATAGGGGGGAAATGGCCACAAAATGGAGCATTGCATCCCAGAAACTCTCCCAAGTGATTCCCCATATTGAGGACATTTGGAGTGAGTAGTCATTTTGTACCTGAAATTACCTATTTTCTAAACTGGAGCATGTGGCCATTTCTGAGTTGGACAAAATGAGTGAGCACATCTGGTAAGGGCTCAGGAAGTTTGAATACAGCTCAAAGATAGCCTCCAAGCCCTCTCAGCCCATCCACCCTTCTTCTGAATCTAGGGGTGCTCTACACTTACAATGAATGCAGTTTGATACTACTTGAACAGCTAAGGCTCCGTGATATGGGATCCTAGGCATTTTACAATGTTTTTAGCCTTCTCACCAAAATTCAATTGCCGCTGAGGACAACCCTGGGAGCCACTCACCCAGATACTTCAATTTTCCTCTGCATCATCTCTCAAAATGATGAATGGAAATAATATTGTATCACTTTTGGTCACCATTTTGAGAAGGACTGTAAAAAGGGGAATTGTGGTATTTGGAGGTAGCCCAGGGCTCTAGGTTGTCTGTGAGATTGGAGAGTGGTATTTATTTATTTGTTTGTTTGTCTTAGGAGCTGTGTATAGTTTGGAGGTAAAAATTGCCTGAATAATTGCACCAAACAGAAACAAAACTTAGGAGGCTTTGGGAGACTGGCGGAAGGGCACAGGGCAGCTTTGCTAAATGTTTCTCTCCTACGAAATCTGTTGGGGGAAGAAAACATGTCAGGCCATGTTTCATGGTCCCCACCTGCAGGAATAATGTGGAATAAAACAGTGATGGAAAACCTTGTGATGGGATGCATGTGTATGTGTGTTCCTTCAAGTTACCTGTCGACATGTAGTGACCCCATGAATTTAATAGGGTTTTCTCTGACGAGGAATACTCAGAGGTGGTTTTGCCAGCGCCTTCCTCTGAAGTACAGCCTTCAGGACCTGAGATTTGTTAGCAATCTCCCATCCATATCCTAAACAAGGCTGATCCTGCTCCGCTTCCAAGATCAGATGGGATCGGGTGGGATATAAAAGCATATCCATACTTGCAGACACAGAACCCAATTCCAAATGCAATCCTCTGCTACCGACTTTCCTTTTTGCTTTTTTTAAAAAAGCATAGGCCTTTCAAAAATAGAATCCTCTCATCTTTTCATATTGAATATGTTGATTATAGCTATTGTTTTGTATGTTTAACGTTTCCCTTCTGCATGACTTTCCACAATTTATATCAGAAGAGAAGTGCATAGAAAGCATCTTCAAGGAGTCTACAAAGGGGCTTAAATCTGTCACATAAAGTGAGCCTTTGAGTAGACTCCAGTCTAAAAGCTAAAGCAAGAGCTTTGTTGTTTCTCTCCCATAAGAACAGGATGGCAATGAGAAATTCCTGTGTCCGTCCTGAAACAACTGAGGTCTTGCACCATCTAGGGACTATGTAATGCAATGGCACTATCGACCCAAAGCTGCTGTTCACCTGGCTGAAAAGGCAGGCTGGTTTTCCAAGAAAAGAGCTGCTTGCCTCTTCCATTTGGGCACAAGTGAACCAAAATCACCATAGCTAGGATATTGGGTTTATTTCACTTCACTGTTTAATCAATGTATAGTCTGCCTTTGAAGAATGAACTCAACAACAGTGGGAAAATCATCCAGCTAATTATATATTTCAAAAGGCATTTTGTAAACCAGGACAAACCATGATGGATAACAGCTTAGTAAAAAGAAAGTGCAGAATGGCAACAAGGAGATGGTTGGCTGAGACTTGAGAAGCCAGAGGAAACGCCAGCAATATAAAAATGGATTGTTCAAGTTGCTTAATGAGCCCTTAAGAGGGATGGGGGTGAGTAAAGTTTTTCTGACAGACTGGACTTTTAGAGCAAGATGCAAAGATGCAATGCTGTAATGTGTAGCTATGAATATTAATAATCCTAGTAGAGGTTGAGCATCCCTTATCCTGTCTTTTCTGAACTCTTTGGGGATGGCTTTGTCTTGAGTAGGCAATGGATCTTCATTGCCATTCCAAAAGACCTGAGCGAATGGACATCCAAATGAACATCCAAACTTCTCACTGGCCCACTGCTTCTAAGCACATGGAGCAGGAAGGAGGACAAAACCATAAAAGCTTATTTGCCACATGTTTCTTATTACCAAAGAAGGTGACTTGACCAAGGTGACCAAAGGGCTTTCATGGCTGAGCAGTGATTCAAACTCAGAATCCTCCCAAAATCCTGGTCCAACATGAAAATGACGATGTCAAATGAACTCTAAAGGCAACAGAGAAGAGGGGTTTCCACCGATGTTGTCACTCAGCAAATATCCTCTTTTCTACACAACCATTCAAAGGACAGCAGCACTTTCCAGTTTTTTGTCTGGCAACCCATACATTGGTGTAAAATGGCTAAGTAACATGTTTTCCCCCTCACTGTATCAGGAAAGCACTTTAGTACTGCAATAAATGTGGTCCAGGGTTCTTTTGAAGTATCTTAAGTTTAAAAGGAAAAATTCAAATTTTTTAGGAACTGGATAAATCCAGTATCACCTATGAGAATCACAACAGCCTTCATCTTGGGCTGGGCCTTTTTGCAAAGCAAGGGGTCTCCCAGGAGCCTTCGTAAAGATGCAGCTTACTTTCAGATGCGAGGCTTTGTGTGCAGTGCACGTTCCTTTGAGCAACTTCTCCTTGGCTCAAGGGTACCTTAAGTTTGGAAAAAATGAAGCATGGGGAGTTGCATTTGTTGTCTTGCATTTCCTTTAAGTAGAGGTGCCTAGAAAGCATGCTAGAATGTCAGGCCTGTAAGAAGGGGAAAATAAATCCCTTTACCCTGCTGTAGTCCTATGAGAAGCATGAGTAGAACTCCAAAAGCCTATCTTTTCCGGCAATTCATTCCCAAACTGTCAATGAGATGCCTACGGGAATCTGAACAAGTCCATATCACCCTCCAAGTTGTGTTGGTCAGCACTGGTTATGGCAACATATATTGTCTTGTTTTTGAGTGCCTTCCATGTCCTCTGTCGTGATTAGATGTGGCACATCTTCCAGCTATCTGGGGGATCAGAGTCCCATACCCCTGTTTGAAGCTATTTAAGGAGACTGTCTCCTGTGTGTCATTTGACTCAGAGAGTTATTTCCTTGAAGCAAAATCCATGGCAGCCTTTATGGTTTGTGAGAGGAAGGGCCTTTGCATGGTTTGTGAGAGGAAGGGCCTTTGCATCTTCCAGTCGTCTGTCAATTGATGGAGACTTCATGAATTTCATAGGGTTTTCTTAAGTAAGGATTACTTAGAGGTGGTTTGACCAGTTTCTGCATCTGAAATATACATATATGCTATTCATACATCTGTGTTATGAAAGGCTCCTCAAGATAAAAACACCCAAAGATTTCAACAATGCTCAAGACTGTTATCTCTGTTCATGACAGCCCTTTGTATTAGTTCTGACAAAAGCTCTAAATGGATTGCTCAATTGTCTCCAACAACTGCTCTTTGTGACATCATAAAAGAATGCTGAGAGTTCTGCAGCTCTCCAGCCTACGAGAAGAAGTCATATCATTTCAGAGGCCCATCTTGGAATGGGCTTGAATGAAGCCAAAGGCTAGAAGGTGGAGCTCACATATAGGATGCTCAGCCACCTCATACGTATCAGTTAGGGACTGCCTTGGGCATCATGGATGACGCAGAGGTTCTGAAAAGGAGAGGCTATGTTATGGGAATCAATCTTGGTGAAGGATCCTACGCAAAGGTGAAGTCGGCCTATTCAGATCGGCTGAAATGCAATGTGGCGGTCAAGATCATTGATAAGAAGAAAGCGCCACGGGATTTCCTGGAAAGGTTTCTTCCCCGAGAGATTGAGATGTTGGCCAGAGTGAAGCACCAGGCCATCATCAAGACCTATGAGATCTTTGAGACCTCAGATGGGAAAGTCTACATTGTGACCGAACTTGGAGTACAAGGAGACTTGCTAGAGTTCATCAAGAGGCGAGGAGCCCTCCCAGAAGACGTTGCTCGGAAGATGTTCCGCCAGTTAGCTGGAGCCATCAAGTACTGCCATGAGTTGGACATTGTCCACCGGGACTTGAAGTGCGAGAACCTCCTGTTGGACAAAGAGTTCAACATCAAATTAACAGACTTTGGCTTCTCCAGGCGCGTGGCTCGTGATGAGGAAGGCCGGGTCATGCTCAGTAAAACCTTCTGTGGGTCTGCAGCCTACGCAGCCCCAGAGGTGCTGCAAGGGATCCCTTACCAGCCCAAGATTTATGACATATGGAGCATGGGCGTTGTCCTCTTCATCATGGTTTGTGGCTCCATGCCTTACGACGACTCAAACATCAAAAAAATGCTCAAGCTTCAGAAGGAACACCGGGTGCACTTCCCCCGGTCCAAAGTGCTGACAATCGAATGCAAGGATCTCATTTACCGCATGCTCCAACCCGATGTCTCCCGCCGATTGTGCATTGATGAGGTTTTGATGCACGTCTGGATGCAAGAACCCAAATCCATTTCGGACACCACGGTGGCAAAAACTGGCGAGAGTTCTCATCAGAACCAGATCCGGGCCTTATATGGCAAAGAGTCGGGCCCTGAGCCCTCAGACAACGAACAAGTGATCCAAGAAGAAAGGCATATTGATATGGAGAAACTCTCTGAGCATGTGCAAAAGCCCTCAATCTGAACACGCCAGAGACCTCGCAACAACCCAAAGATGATGGACAGTGGCTATCTGCGGCTCATCTTGAAAGGTCTCTATGCTAAAACATAAAAAAGGGGAAATACTTTTAGAAAGAGATTAAGGAAGAACGCTTTTTCCGACATCAAGCACTTTCTGATTTCCATCCTGGAAACTACCAAGCTCATAAACATCTGCCCTGATCCAAGTCTCCACATTTATGAGTGGATCAACATTGGAAAGAGAGAAATTGGCTCTCCTCCTCTTCCCTTTGTTCATCTCAAAACTGAAAATAAAATAACCAGTAGATTGATTTTGGTGTAGTCTGAGCCGGGCCTGGTAAGCCTGATGCTTTCATTAGGTCTTTTGCATCACATCCAACCAGCCAGAAACCTAAAGACTGAGAGGACAACTATTCTCTTTTTTGAATTTGTCAGCAACATTGAAATACACATTTCTGTCAGATAAAAAATACATACCGAAAAACTATGTGTGGGCTGGGATTTCCAATATAACAGTGATGCTGGTGAAATAAAGTTTTTAGAAGATATAAATAAAATGCATCTGTTATTTTAGTGCGACTGTGTGTGTGTTTCTCTATGTATTTTGTAAAAGGTTTGGTCTGCTTCAGCAGGGGGCAAGCAACTCTCATCGTTCCTTAGCAATGTCTGCCTTGAGGCTTCTCCACTTCCTAGAGTGCTCTGGAAGAGCCAATGTACAGTATGCCATTGACTGTGGAAATACTATTTAATTTCTAGATACCAGAAAGCAAGGGTGGGCACCTGCCAAGGGTTGGAAGATTGCATTAGCCTTGCATGGCACTTGCATAGCCTGAAAGTTCTGATCAATTCATTACTATCCCATTTTTGGCCTGCTTTAAATACATACGTTTTCCCCCTCTCCTTCCCTTGTCTTCAGTTTACTTCAGTTGCCACAAACAGAGTCCAAATTTTGCCCTTCCCAGTTGGCTCAGGCAAAAGCAAACTACTGTAACCTCTACTGCTTATATGGCCTTCCACACTGATAACATTTGCCACATTGGCCATATTGGCAGGTATACTTTACTGGGCAGCAGGTTTAGGTGGACATGGGACCTGAGGGGCCCAGGAGATGCCTTTTCTTCGCCCCTCCAGTGGGACATTTTGGTGAGACATTTTCAATGCTGATTCATAAATACCAATCCCAAGCAGCAGTATCAAAAGCAGGTTCTTTGCCAAAGGTCGCCTCCAACCTACAGAAGGCTTGTCATAATTAAGCAAAATCAGTACACTATTGAATCAACTGAAGATTGTAAGACCACAAAAATGTTAGCTTAGAAGCGCTCTGCCTATAAAAAGATGTTCCTGGAAGAAGTTTGTCAATGGCTGAATAATCTGTTTTGCAGGTCGGTATCTTAGGTTTTGAAACATTTCTGTTATCGATCTGTCTGTCATCTACCTAAAGAGCTGAGGCAGAGTAGTATTTTGAGTTCCAGACTACAATAGCAGGTGATCAGGTTTGAATCCTTGCTTGATCACAGGTAAGATACCAGTCCCATACTTGTCCCTGTGAGTTATTTTGATCTTCAGACTAAAGGACGGAATAAAGACATGGTAAATAAGTAAAGCAGCCATCATGGTGTGAGTACTTTGAAAAACAAGGTATTCAAATTGAATGCCACGTCACACACAACATCTAGCCACAGGCTGAGTGAGAAAGCGGTTTCCATTGGCTTCTACATTGCTTCTGTATCTGGCCTGAGCAAGACAGGTTTATTGGCTAGCTCCTCCTTTCCAGTTGGCTTTGTGACATCATATGGAGACATCAACAATGTTCCTTCTGCATCATCCAGCTTCCGAGAACTCAGCAGTGCCTTGATGATCACCCGCCATTGAATACATGCCAGATACGTAACTTGCTAGATACGTATGTTCACCACGTGGGCAAACTTATCATAGTAGCTGTTAGCATGATGGACGATGCCGCAGTCCTTAAAAAAAGAGGCTATGTCATGGGAGGAAATTTAGGAGAAGGCTCTTATGCGAAGGTGAAATCGGCTTTCTCTGAACGTCTCAAGTTCGATGTAGCTGTTAAAATCATTGACCGGAAAAAAGCTCCTTCAGATTTTCTGGAGAGGTTCCTTCCAAGAGAAATTGACATCTTGGCCAGAGTCAACCACCGGTCCATCATCAAAACCTATGAAATCTTTGAAACTTCAGATGGCAAAGTTTACATTGTGATGGAGCTTGGCGCCCAAGGCGACTTGCTGGAATTCATCAAGACCAAAGGGGCGCTGCCTGAAGACATTGCCCGGAAGATGTTCCGTCAATTATGTGGTGCCATTAAATACTGCCACGACAATGACATTGTCCATCGAGACTTGAAATGCGAAAATCTTCTCCTGGATAGAGAGTACCGAATCAAACTTTCCGACTTTGGCTTTTCGAAACGTGTGGTTCGGGATGAAGAAGGCAAAATTATATTGAGCAAAACCTTCTGTGGCTCTGCTGCTTACGCGGCTCCAGAAGTACTGCAAGGCATTCCCTACGAGCCCAAAGTTTATGATATATGGAGTCTAGGGGTCATTTTGTATATCATGGTCTGTGGCTCCATGCCTTATGATGACTCGAACATTCGGAAAATGCTGCGGCTCCAGAAGGAACACAGGGTTCACTTCCCCAAGTCCAAAATCCTCACTGTTGAATTGAAAGATCTCATTTACCGCATGCTCCAGCCTGATGTGGGACGGCGTTTACGCATTGAAGATGTGTTAACCCACATGTGGATGCAGCCCCCACCTAAGCCCCGAAGTTCGGATGGGAAAGAAGGTGAGTGCTCCCGGACTTTGACCGAACACAGGACAGCATCGAGGATAGAAGCAGAACCAGAGGCCAGACCAGGACCATCTCCAGCCCAAATGGAGCGAGAAGACGCAGCAGCCGAAAAGGGGAAACGGGATGACACAGAGTTTGAGGTAACAGACCTCTAAGCCCAAAAGACAAAATAACTGCCCCCAGTGCAACCAGGCAGCCCCAGGTTGTCTGAACAAACCAATGGACAGTGAGGTCTGAGGGAAAAGGTAACTGTTTCATGGAAGAAACCTTTGGAAAGGGAGAGAGACTAAACGGGGGAGGGGGGGACGGGGACAGAAAAGCTTTCTTTATAGCGCTGTTTTAAAGCAATTCAATTAAATATTTTCTAAATTGAGACCTAATTTGCTGTCAGTGTCAACTGCTTTACGATTACACCTAAAGAGTCATGTGTTGGGGACTGGCAGCATTGGGAAAACTGGCTCAGAAGATAGATTAGATTCCTCCTTTCTTTTCGGCTTATCGCAATGACTGAAAACTCAATTCGAAAAGCAATCGTTTGACCAGTTGAGTAAGCAGAAAGGAGAATAGAGGCATCATGCCCTTCCCAGTAGGTTCTGGCAGAAGCAAACACACCCCCCCCCCCCCCCCCCCCCCCCCCCCCCCCCCCCGGCTCTCTGGTGTTGCTACATGAGTCTTACTTTTTAGTTGTGACATATTGGAGGGTACGATATCTTGGACTTTTATCATGCTGGGCAACTTCCGACTTTGTCAAACTGCAACTCCTTCAGGCACTTGGTATTCTGGATGCCAAACACACTAACTGATAGACATATCTGCCCTATTTCTCTTTAATTCCAAGAATAACAGAAACTTCTTTACCCCATTGATTTGTCAATGTTCTCTTTTGGGACAGTTTACTATTAAAGGAAAGGCCAGTCCAGATCCATGCCATCTCAACGGCAAAACAACTGCCCGAAAGCCATTCCCTGCATATGCGAAATGTTTCACTTCCCAATTGTTTAGTGTGCATTCATTTCTCCTTCAGTAACCCAGCAGACCCATTCAATTCAAATTTGTGCTAGGCCTTTATTCAAAGGCTTTTGTTGCTCAATAAATAAAAAAATCCGCCATACAGTCAGATTGCTGCCCAAACGCTTCCACAATCATCCAACGCCCCTCTTCATTAAAGCAATTCAAAATGCATCAAAGGGCCCGGAACACTACTGCAGCTCTAGTCTTTTCTTGCCTGGTGTCTGCGACACCCGGGACACAAGGAGCTTGATTTGTGCTCAGTAAAGCTACTTCTGCCACCACAACACAAGATTAGAGGGCAGATAAACCTGTGTGGAGGAACCAACTCCTCCTGCTGAGTCTCGCCAGCTCCGCGGAACCCCACAAGAGGCCACAGTGCTCAGAAGAAGTCCGACGCTTTGCGCCTCTTTGGGAGCTGCAGCAGGTTGTCTGTGATTGAGGCCGGATCCTGGTTCACTGGTGTCTGGGAGAGTGTCCGGGGCATGGGGGTGACGGTGGGCGTCTGGGGGCTGCCTGCTGGGGTCTTGTAGCCTGGGGTGCCGAGGTGGGCCGGGGAAGGGGTGTAGCTGGCCCGAAGAGCTTTGTCGGTGAATTTGCTGGCAGTCCTGTTGACCAAACGCTGCAGGGCTGGAGACATAGCTGGACTGAGTCCTTTAGGAGTGAGGCTGAAATTAAAAATAGCACACACATACTTAGGTTAGGCTAACCGCTAGAGTTTAGACCAATGGTTCTCAAATTTGTCTAGGCCTTGTAGGTCCTCCAGTTCATCTTTGTGGTCAACTTATACTGACTGTAAAGGTGCAGTGCCCTGGAGGATCTACAACAGTGGTTCTCAACCTGTGGGTCCCCAGATGTTTTGGCCTTCAACTCCCAGAAATCCTGAAAGCTGGTAAACTGGCTGGGATTTCTGGGAGTTGTAGGCCAAAACACCTGGGGACGCACAAGTTGAGAACCACTAGCTTAGACAAAGGATCATTTCAGAGGCTGACGATTTCAGTAACACTTCTATGCAGTGAGACCGGGGTGTCAGACTAATTTTCTTGGAGGGCCAAATCAGTCTTACGTTTGCATTTGAAGGGCGACTGAATCCATGGACCAAGAATCCATGGATACGAAGGGCCAACTATAGTGGGTTTTTAAAATATCGTAGTCTGTGTGCTTTAGTTTTTGCCCAGTTTTGGTCTCCAGATGTTATGGAACAACAAATCTTATCACTTGATTATCTCCCATGTGGGCTGAAGATAATGGGAATTGCACTCCAAATACCCTCTGAGGTTGGGGAAAGAGAAAGGGACATTTTAAAGTTTGAAATCAGATCCACAAGCCTTGTATCTCAATCCAAATCTCACTCTCCTGATTAAACAACAAACTGCAGCCTTCTGGATGTTTCTATATCCCAACTCCCATCAGCTCTAGTTATGATGTCTAATGACAAGGAATACAGGAATTGGAGTCCAGCATCTCCAATTACTGTATTCAAGTACATAAAATGACATGGAGGGCCGATTCAAGTTTGACACGTGTGACTGAGATGAACAAATCTGCTTCTGATCTATGGCAGTTTTTGCCAGCTCCATATGAACTGGTAATTTCAAAACAAAACTACACTGCTACACAGCTCTCATAGTACAGTTTTTTCTTTTTGCATGCTACCATTTCTTTCACCTGTCCAGAAGGAAAACCTCACTCACCTGGCCAGGTTCTCGGTGACTCTCCGTAACGCTTCCTGCTTCTTCGCACGGTTTTTCGCGGCTGCCTCATTGGCCATCTTTAGCCCAAGCCTCTCTCTGCGACCAGGCTCCAGAATCTACAAAGACAAGAGTCAGGTTGGGGACAATTAAATTTGGTAGAATCATTTTGCATTATGCCACAAATGTCTGGAGACATTTCCAGGACAAGGTTGTCACTTGAGGACAACAGTCCCCAAAAAAGGTGCACTCCAAATGTAATGGGAATTCTGGATCCCAAGATATCTGGAGGGTAATAGAACAGGGGAGAATAGTTTTGTTGTACCTTAAAGACAAGCATGCTTAGCACAATACAAAGATTTGCTTGCTTTCTAGATGTGCATTAACCTCAACAGCACTGCTCTAACCACAAGGGCAAGAGTCTAGTCAGTAGCTAAAGCAGCATTTCCCAAACTGGTGCTGTCTACATGGGTGGGACTGCAGCTCCTATCATCCCCAGCAAGCACGGCCTGTGCTGCCTGGAAATTATGGGAACTGCCATTCACTCTAAAAGACAACACCAGGTTGGGGAAAGCTACTCCACCCATTTACTATCCTGTCCTGACTCTCATAGGTAATGCTTTCAGTCTGAAGAGCAAACTCCATTTTCACTGCAGATGGCCATGTTTCACCCCACAGCCTGAGCTTTTCCATCTCTGGTATAGTCAAGGCAGCTCTGGGCTTTGCTCCACCCCAAGCTGAGCCAAACTGGTACTTTTAAAAGCAAATTTCACCAGGTCTAAGACCTAGGGACGAGAGCTTCTGGACGGATCCAACCTAAGCCCCGGCTTCACAGGGAAACTATCCAATACCTTGAATGCTGGTCCAGGAGTCCTGTCCACATAAGGTGTGTCAGAGCCTTCTAGCCGCAAAGGGGTGCTTTCTATTTCCCCCCAGGTCATCAGAGGAGAGTCATTCACACCTATGGAGAGAGATGTACAAATCGGTTTAAATCAAACACGGCTGCACAGGGGTTTAAAATGCATCGGGCCACAACGTGAACACTCATGCACCCTTCTTGAACATCACCTTGAGCAGCACACCAGGAAATAGGCAGGATATACATTAAAATTAATGAAATAAGCTCTACGCCTGCCTCAGACACTCACCGCCTCCCAAGAGGCCCCTTCTGCAGCCCAGAGAGGAATTAATGCTTCAAACAGATATCAGAAAGCAAGACTTGAGGAAAGGGGTTAGCAAACGCAGCCAAGGGGATCAGATCCTCTTTCCTTCACTACCTCTGTCCCGGTAATCCCTGCATTGCTGCAGTGCCCTGGGTCCTTGCGACAACAAGGAAATCTCTTGGACACACATTGTCTTTGCTGCAACAAGCTTGCCCTAAAGTACCCCTGCTCTAAGACATAAAACAACACAACCGTGGGTAAATATTGATTCTGTCGGTGTGCTGTTCGTTTGGTCAAAACTCTGGCAGTGTATTTCTCTACCTGATCTGCCAACTGAGGGCCTCAATTAACAGTGTTGCTCTCATTATGTGTGTGTACTCAAGGGCTGAGCATTTAGCTGTGCTTGCTAACAAAACAGTTCTGCCTTGCTGAACAGCAGTCCCATTTATTTATGTACTTACCATATATACTCATGCACAGGTCACCCTCATGTATAAGTGAAGGGTAGGTTTTATATTGTGAAATGCTATTTTAAATTGTAAGTTGCGCAGAGCACCTTGGTGGAGAGTGACTAATTAAGAAATAAAGTGAAGTGAAGTGAAGTTTTAGGGCCAAAACTACAGATTTTAATATGACCCATAAGATGAGGTTGATTCTAAAGAAAAGGAAAGACCTAGGATGATCTCAGAGGGCCAGAAAGCAGTATTAATGTTTTTTCTTCTCTTGTTGGGCATAGAAAATTGAGGAAATAAAGCCATCAGGCAGAGAATGTAAAGCCCTTAGACTAGGTACTTTAGGTCTAAATGTAGTTGATGTCTAGTGTATGTTTTTTATATTAGGAAAATGTATTTCTACTGTATTTGTCTTTGTAGTCTGTCATATGGTTTGCAGTCATGCTTTTTCTGTTTGTTTGTTGGATTTTGTTGTCAGTTTTTTTGAATAAAACTTATCAATAATAATAGAGATGGGGATGGTATCTTTTTGGATAGTTTACATTGCTTACATTGACTCATGAATAAGTCAACCCAGGTGTTTTGGACTTACCTTATAACTAAAATTTCAAGACTTATACATGAGTATATACAGCTTTTTTAATGCAATATACAAGTCTTTGTCTTACCTGGCGCAGGGGACGGGGTGGCCACAAATCCATAGCCATTAACCTTGGGGGATTCTTGGGGGATGAGTTCTTTTCCATCAGGGCCAACTTTCCCCTGCTTGTACTAAATTTAACAGAGAGAGAGTATTGCTTAGCACCATTACACTGGATCTTCAAAGCTGAGCCTACCATTC